ATAGGGTTCGACGAAAGGTTCTATATACCTCTGTGAAGCACGTCGACTCCGCCTATGTCGAAATGGCTTGAAATTTTTTTGGCAGTCATTTACACCCAAAATATGGCCCCACACAAGATCTTAGATTTTTCTGATAATTATTTTTATTATTACATTTTTCTTTGTGCCACGTGAGATGAAATACGGTGAATTACATATTGAAAACAATATAATTTTGCATCAACCTCCACAAATATTTGTCTCCTAGAGCACAAGAGACCATTTGGCAAAGTTTGGCACCATTCCGGATCTTTTCGGGGGTGGACTCAGTTCAACGTATAATTAATCGGTGAAGTCGCGTGGAAATTCAATTAAAGTGAAAAAATTACCAAACCAATTCAGAAAAATCTCGAACTTGGTGGTGGCTTCACACTGGGCATTTGAAACCCTGATAAAAATTATGAGATTAATCAGGCACTAGAAAGCACATGGACCAGAAAATTTAAAGTATAGTTAACAAAAGAATATAATCAATTAAAGGGTCTTTTCTCTTATTAAATAAATATTTGGGTGCTTTCTTGTCGAGAAAGTGACTTAGTTCAGATGGCTAGCTAGTGCGCTGCGGTTTGGACCTTGGCTATGAGGTCGTGGGTTCAATGCCTGGCTGCCCTATTTTTTTGTCCAGCGTGACTATATTATTTTATCAAGAAAGATTTTATCCCGGTTATAGCCCAGAGCCAGGACTAAAGGTCACCCTTTAGCCCCGGCTGGAGCCTCAAGCCAGGAGTAAAGATTTATTCCCGGTTGGAGGGTCCAGCTGGGACTAAAGGATAACCTTTAGTCCTGGCTCTGGGCTATAACCGGGACTAATTGTTGCCTACCGTCGCCACACACTTGGGGAGGAACTTTGTATCCTTGTTTGAGGATACAACCGGGACTAATAGTCCCTTTAGTCCCGAACACAAAAATACCGGGACTAAAGACAAAAATAGAGGCGGGATGAAATGTCTGTTTTCTAGTAGTGTGGGTGTAAGCCAACTATGTGTTTATATTCACTACTACAAAAAGTTCATCACCGCCGGTTCTAGACCCCCTTCACCGACGGTTTTGGCCCCCGTTGGTAAAAGTCGTTAGTGATGGTTGGTGTCCATCACCGCTGGTTCCGAACCATCGGTGGTATTTTACACTCCCACCCATCTGGGCACCTAACCGGCAGTGTTGATAGAAACATCTACGACGGTCGGGCAGACCATCCGGCGGTGATAATGGGAATATCAACACCGGTTCAGCGTAGTCTCGAATAGGTCCTTCTTCCTCCTCTGGAAGCACACTGCCATGGCAACCATGGCTACACATGGGAGGAGCTGGTTGGTCGGGACGGGTGGGCGGCCAGCAGCAGCTAGCGCACGGCGACATCATCCGGCCGAGCTGCGCACAGGGGATGGGCTTGTCCGGCAGCTAGGCCTTCTTGGGGGAGCGCCGGGTGGCCGAGGAGGACTCACCTGGGGCATGCTAGGTGGAGCGGGGGGAGCGCGAGGGCCTGGGTCTAGGACGGAAGCGCCAGGCCTGAGAGGTGCCATGACGGCCATGCCGGGGCCAAGAGGGGCATCGCCGGGGCCGAGAGGAGTTGCGCCGAGGCCGGGAGGAGCCACGTCGGGGCCATGCGTGCTGCCCACAGCGGCCGCGCTGCTGGCCTCCATTAGGGTTAGGTTCGCGCGTGGTGCTCACGTGCGAATGAAGAGATCGGAGTGTTCTCCTTTTTCTGTAACTGCACGTGCCGTGGTGCTCTCGTCTTTTTGCATGTGGCCCACATAAGGAAGATTTGAAGTTTTGGTGCTAAAATAAGAACACCAAGTTTTTTTGTGTCAAGGAATTTTCTATAAAATTTAATGGGATGTCTTGGTTGGTAGCTACTCATAGTTTCGGAGAGCAGTCACAATGCTAAGAACCACATATAATTTTTATGTTTATTAATTTTTATAGACACTACAAATAGAAACTATGTTTCAAAATAATCTTTTGTTCAATCACATGTATTCTCTCTCCCTCATCTACCAATCACATCTCTTCATATCTTGGTTCGCGTGTAGACATGGTTTCTTAATAAGAAACCATTTCCTCATTTCTCTTATTTAATTTCAGTGCCACATAATTTTTTTGCTTAGATGACACTCCAATTAATAATCGTATAAACCATGTGGTTTCTGGGTTGGGAGTGCTATAATACATAGCTTCTCTTTTGATCCTTTCCCTCTATAAAGAAAAAATAAACATCTTTTTCTATGCTTGGAACATAAGAGTATGATTACTTTTGTTGTGACAGTTTGGTAGTTCCGTTCTTAAACTGGGCCCTGACAGAGGGACAATGTTGGGCTAGCCTATCACCTTTTTTTCATATCCTTTCATTTTCTTTCCAACTTCTTAGCATCTTTAAGATTTGTCTTTTTGGATAAAGGAAAATTTTATCAAAATCAAGACAACTATATTGAGCCATTGGCCTCCATAAGTCCATAACCAGGATACATACCGCCCAAGCTTTGATTTGTCTTGTCTTCGTTTCTAAAAGAAAGAAAAAGATTTATTTATCCTCGACCATATCACCATATAACCTGAGAGCTGGAAGTACACATCAAACTTTGCTTTAGAGCACATACACATGAAGCATACAGTTTGCTTTTGCTAAGATATTTGCTAAGCTTTTGATAAGGTCTAGAAACAAAAGCGGCCACCTTCTCCGATCCTTTTTCTCGTTGGTATTTTTGTGTCCACAACAAGCGAAAAGCCGCACGCTTGACACACCAACCGCTATAACAAGAGTAATAATCGACCTAAACAAAGCATCATCGCCATCGTTCACCTTTGCATCATGCTGCCGGAGGCCTCTCGCTTCATAATCACACCCCAATGATCAGTAATCGCCACTGAAAAAAAGGCTTTGCCAGGACAATTGCCACCTTAGCAATAGCAAGTCTCTACGACCACTGCTATTATAGTACTACTGTACAGTACTACCAATCTCTTGTTGTTCTGCCTTCTACTTCTGCCCAGTTGCATCTATGGAGCTATTGCAATTATGAGTGCAGTGTGCCATGTATGCAATGAGTTTACAAGAAGCAAGGTTTTTCGTGTGGAATTCAGACGGAGTACTCAACTGAACCAAATTATGGAACAGTGCGATGACAGGTTCATATTATATATATACTCCTATTTGATTTGATTTGGAGCTCACAGCAAGCAACTGATCTGTCCCTGAAAACGTGATGATTTGTGCAGCGCCGGACAGCAGCCTGGCAATCTGAGAAGCAGTTGGTGTCGCTTTCGGTTGCCATCGTCGTCAGGAATTAGAATCTGTTACGCTAGAAACTCAGAATTGAATGTGCATGCGACCGTGCTGCACTACTCTTCCTCCTGAAATCTTTGATCAGTTCATACAGGTTGTAATCATTGATCAGGAACTCAGAGCAAGGAAGATCGACGATGCCACATCCACATCCACCTGAAAATGCTTCTAAATTCCGGACTGGCATCGTCGTCAGACGTCAGTGGTTGTAGAGTTCGTTACGCGAAAAGAAGAATTAAATGGAGAATGCAACCCTCAGGAATCAGAACCCGTTACGCGAGAGGGCTCGGAATTGAATGGAAGGACGACGCAATCGTGCTGCACTCCTGCAGCACTCCACCCTCAACTCAACGGTGTCACCGGTCACTCTCAGTGCTAGCTGCCCGCCTGTCCTCCAGTCATCCAGTCGACGGGTCGGTCTCCGCCGCAACCGAAGACGTACGGCGGCGAGAAGGCGGCCGGCGGTGGAGCACAATTCTGGAAAAGGAGCACATTATGAAGGGAAGGCAGCTGACCGCACCGCACACACACCAAGACCGTCCCTCCCTGAATCTGAATGCATGCCAGCCTGACTGATTGCCTGAGTGCACGCAGCACCCACAGCACTGCGCCCTGGTCCGTTTGTTTTCATGCGCTGCTGTTCCTGTTGTGCATCGGTTTCACGCGATCATATCGAAGGAAACAGATAGTATATCCATACCCAAATCGTGCCCCTTTTTTCTGAATTTCTTTGACGTAGCAACAATGCCAAGTGCCAACAAGTGGCGCGGCTTGACTTGAAAAGCACTGCTGCAATTGCATAACGAACTGATTGGCGAGTAAACAAGGTGTCATCATGGCATTAGCACTCTAAAGGCAGGCAGGAGGATTATAGGGGCCAGTCTCAGACTCTCGGTGGGAGTTGTGAGAGTTTCATTTACATTTAATAGCTTGTCACATTGTATTTTTTATGGCATGACAATGTTTTAATGAAGAGAGAGAAGAAATGAGTTTTATGGGGATGAAACTCTCTTAGCACGATTACCAATTCTCTATGAGTTTTGGAATTTAATATCTATAAAACCATGAAATGAAACTTTACATTAAGAACGGGTGTTTCATCTGAGTTTCATTTCATTTTATATGATATGACAGTCTTGAAAACAACACAATAAAACTCTCCACTGAGACTGGTCAATCAAACTGGCTCGAGCAGGTGCGAATAAGAGCCGCTGTCGTGGGAGGAAAGCAAGTCCAGTGACATGGACGCGCACCAGACGCCGGTTATAATTTACATACATGCTTTCATGAAAAGCTAATGGCACTGTACAATGATTGCAACGTCGACAGACATGCGACCCATGGGGTGATCCCAGGGCTGAGCTTTGCTTTATTTGGTGACGATCTTGCTAAGATTCTTCCGTGTGTGACATTTGATTAATCCCATGCATGGCCGATATGGAATCCATTATATGTGTATATAATGTATATGTACTATCTGGTAGGGTGTCACCACACCACTGCACCGGCGACGCGACGGCGAGTGCTCTCCACTCGTGGCATCCACTCACTCACTCTCACTCAGCTCAGCTCAGCTCTCCACTCCGCTGCTGATGCATAAGAAGCGGCAGCTCTGAGCTCAGCTCACTTCATCCGCTCGACCGCAGCCAGTCTGTGGGCGGCTGCTTCTGACGTCGTGATCATGTTTCGCGCCGTGCTGTTCGGGGCCATCAGCCTCTTGCTGCTGTCGTGCGCCGCGGCGGCGGCGGCGGCTGATGGCGAGCGGCGATCGTACATCGTCCACATGGACGTGGAGAAGATGCCGGCGCCGTTCGTGGAGCACGAGGGATGGTACCTCTCGGTGCTGTCATCGCTTCCGTCCTCGACGACGGCAGGGGAGGGCGCGGCGCCGGTTCACCTGTACACGTACACGCACGTCATGCACGGGTTCAGCGTGGTGCTCACCTCGCGGCAGCTGGAGGAGCTCAGGGCCGTGGATGGCCACGTGGCCGCGTTCCCGGAGACGTACGGCCGGCTCCACACCACGCACACGCCGGCTTTCCTCGGGCTGAGCAGCGGCGGCTCGGGCGTCTGGCCGGCGTCCAAGTACGGCGACGGCGTGATCATCGGGATCGTCGACACGGGCGTCTGGCCGGAGAGCGAGAGCTTCAGCGACGCCGGTATGGACCCCGTCCCGGCGAGGTGGAAAGGCGCGTGCGAGGCCGGCCAGGCGTTCAAGGCGTCCATGTGCAACCGGAAGCTCATCGGGGCGCGCTCCTTCAGCAAGGGCCTCAAGCAGCGCGGTCTCACGATCGCGCCCGACGACTACGACTCGCCGCGGGACTACTACGGCCACGGCTCGCACACGTCGTCCACGGCGGCCGGTGCCGCCGTCAGCGGCGCGAGCTACTTCGGCTACGCCAACGGCACGGCCACCGGCATCGCCCCGAAGGCCCGGGTGGCCATGTACAAGGCCGTGTTCTCGGGCGACACGCTGGAGTCCGCGTCCACTGACGTGCTGGCCGCCATGGACCTGGCCATCGCCGACGGCGTCGACGTGATGTCGCTGTCCCTGGGCTTCCCGGAGACGTCCTACGACACCAATGTGATAGCCATCGGAGCCTTTGCCGCCATGCAGAAGGGCGTCTTCGTGGCGTGCTCGGCCGGGAACGACGGCTCTGACGGGTACACCATCATGAACGGCGCGCCCTGGATCACGACCGTTGGCGCCGCGAGCGTCGACAGGGACTTCACCGCGACCGTCACGCTCGGCAGCGGCGCGACCGTCCAGGGCAAGTCGGTGTACCCGCTGAACACGCCGACCACCAGCGCGAACCTCTACTACGGCTACGGCAACAGGAAGAAGCAAAGGTGCGAGCCCACCAGCCTGAGAAGCAAGGACGTGAGAGGGAAGTACGTCTTCTGCTCCGCCGACCCGAGCACCGAGATCGAGGAGCAGATGGACGAGGTGCAGAGCAAGGGCGGCCTCGGCGCCATCATCGCGAGCGACATGAAGCAGTTCCTCCAGCCGACGGAGTACACCATGCCGGTGGTGCTGGTCACCCAGTCGGACGGCGCGGCCATCGCCAAGTACGCGACGGCACGGCCAGCCAGAGGGTCGCCCAAGGCGAGCGTCCAGTTCGGCGGCACGGTGCTCGGGGTCAAGCCGGCGCCGACTGTGTCCTACTTCTCCGCCCGCGGGCCCGGCCAGATCAGCCCGACGATCCTGAAGCCGGACATCGTCGCGCCGGGGGTGGACATCCTGGCGGCGTGGGTGCCCAACAAGGAGATCATGGAGCTCGGCAAGCAGAAGCTCTTCACCAAGTACAAGCTCATCTCCGGCACGTCCATGTCGTCGCCGCACGTCGCCGGCGTGGTCGCCCTCCTGCGGTCGGTGCACCCTGACTGGAGCCCGACGGCCATCCGGTCCGCCATGATGACAACGGCGTACGTGAAGGACAGCGCCAGCAACGTCATCGTCAGCATGCCGAGCGGGTCACCAGGAACGCCACTGGACTTTGGCAGTGGCCACGTCAGCCCCAACGAGGCCATGGACCCTGGCCTCGTGTACGACGTGGCGGCAGACGACTACGTCAACTTCCTGTGCGCCCTGCACTACAGCAGCCGCCAGATATCGACCATCACCGGCCGGCGAAACCCCAGCTGCGCCGGAGCAAACCTGGACCTGAACTACCCGTCCTTCATGGTCATCCTCAACAGGACCAACTCCGCCACACACACGTTCAAGAGGGTACTGACAAACGTCGCAGCCGCACCAGCTAAGTACAGTGTGTCAGTGACGGCGCCAGCAGGGATGAAGGTGACGGTTTCGCCGACGGCGCTGTCCTTCAGCGGCAAAGGCAGCAAGCAGCCGTTCACAGTCACGGTGCAGGTCAGCCAGGTGAAAAGGAACTCATATGAGTACAACTACATTGGGAACTATGGGTTCTTGAGCTGGAATGAAGATGGAGGCAAGCATGTTGTCAGGAGCCCAATAGTCTCTGCATTTGCTCAATGATCGAGGAAGACATGTTAGCATAACAGGAGCAAAAATAAGACTATAAGAGCATGACAGTAGAAAAGATAATTATATATTTACAATAAATCCTGATCAGGAACATAAAGAAACATAGACTGAAGAAAGGGGGGAAAGCCTCAACAGATACTAAATTACTACAGTTGACAAGTGTATTTGATAAATCAAATTATAGGTTTCTCAATTATTGATTTTTCTCAGCGTATCAGACTCTGCTCCAATCCACTGAACTGCTTCCATATTTTGGTTTGCTTCATAAGAAGCACACAAATTGAAAGGGACTGCACCCCATCTTGGGGAACCTCAGAATCACATGGGTTCTGTGTTCATAATCAAGAACATCACTAACATGTCACGTTACTGCAGATAAACTATAGTATTATTATACAGTTAGGGCAATCCATGTTAATAAACCTCATACAATGAGTTGGAGCAGGTACATCTCAGGCTTCCTCCCTCCTACAATTTGTCCTATGGGCAGTGATAGATCAGATGCAACATCGAACAAAAGCAACTTCCAAGTCCCAAATGTAGAAAATAGTTCTCCAAAATTGAACAGCAGCACCTCTCCATAGTCAAAACCCAATTGGATCAGCAAAATTATGTGACATAGGTTGATGCAGGCAAATGGGGATACTCTTAACAATAAATCTAACTGGATACGCTTCACATTAAGGCATTTTGTATTCTATATATCCAAAACATCCAAAACTATTGTGTCCTAGGCTCCAGTGCAACAACTTGCTACGCACAAAGCACTAGTACCAGCGAACAACTTGCTACGCACAAAGCACTAGTACCAGCGAACAACTTGCTACGCACAAAGCACTAGTACCAGCATAAAAATCTTGAGAAGTCATGGTCATCTTACTGTAATCAGATCACTGCAGGTCTGTACTACTTGACGCCATTCCTGCAAAAAAATCCAAAATCCTACTCAATCTAAACTTCTACCTTATGCATAAAGTCATTATCAGCAGAACAACACTTGCAAATGATTATCCATATCACATCAAAGTCTTTTGCCACCCACAGTTAGGTACTTCATGTTGTTGACCATACTAGCACCAGAGACGTACACTAACACTAAAGACCATCAAGCATAAATGAGTCATTGTCTTATTGAGTTGCCTGACTGCTAGCTGTGGTGCTTCCAAAGCTCTAGTGCCGTGTCACCTTGTGCAATACAGGTGTCTCTCTTGTATTGGCGAGGACAGAGGGGCCAGTCTGCGATGATACAAGCAGGTAATGCCTCACCAGGTACCCAAAGGCTCATGAAGTTTTCTGAAGAAGCCTTAAACACCCAGACCAGTACATCTGATGATGACATTGACAATGCACCCACATACTACAACAGTCATCAATCCCACATCTTCATGGTTTCAACTACTGATCCTGTCATCATGGTTGATTGTTTCAGTTGTTATTGGATTCAACATCAACCATTACCACCATAAACTGTACAGGCATGCACTATGTTATAGTCTCAGCACATGCTATTTTTCATCAGCACTTACAAACCTAATTGCATGGTTACTTTCCTGGTACCAACCACTTGATTTCAAACGTTTCTCAGGATCTCAGGTCTCCAGTAGTTCAATAACCACATGATGTTTTATACCCATGGTAAAGATGATCTCCATTCATGTTCAGCTGGCATGGCTCCCAAGGTACATGCTCATAAATGTCCCAGACCAGATGGTGTACTGGTTGATATTTACAATCAACACTAACTTCATGTCTTCATGTCAATTGCAGATAAGTGATCCAATAATTTTCTTATTATGGCATAACAGGCCAGATAAAGTCCAAAGGAACAACAGTCATGAAGTGGTTAACTAGTCACTGGCAGATGGTGTGCAAGTACTGCAAGAACCAAGCAATTTCTTCATGCTAAGGCTGTATATCAGGCTCTTAAATGCTGGACATAACAATAAATTACATAGCTGCAACATGTGCACCAAAGACCAATTCCATTTCACCATGCTGACTTGGGGATGAAGCAAACACCACGAGTCGTGACCACATGTGCTGAGGGAATTGAGTGCTGAATAAGATGCACGGAGATTGGTGACACCAAGCTGATCATCCAGTACACATTCATTCTACCATAACCACATAATTATTACAAACTTGCTTGGTGCATGCCATGAATGAAAGTATGTGCAGCAACCATCAAGTCTGCCATGACAACAGCATATTTGGCCATAACACCACTAAGAAGATCAATAGCATTCGAGCTAGAGTAGGCATACTTCTGCCATGTATTGATAATAGCTGTGTCATGTTAACACTTCAACCTTAAATTGTGCACCTAATCTTTTTAGTAGGAGCAGTGACTAAGAGATCCCACACCAGCTCCACCGGTGCCCAATCCTGATATAGATTACCTTTCCTGATCATTCCTGAGAATACAAAAAATTAGGAAAGGCTAAACAGGATCTTACGGAAAATCACTTAATCTACATCCAATTAAAATATTCACATGGGCATCCAAACCAACATTAAAGAAACAGTGTTCAGAAATACGGAGGTAATCAGGAAAATTAGCTTTGCCCGTCTGTGTCTTCTTAAGTAATACAATAGGCAGATCCCCTGCTCGTTCACTTAAAAAATCAGGAAAATTAGACAAAATGTGGATATCATATAGTATAAACTCTAAAAAAGGTATCATATATGACCTTAGCAGTTAGCAAAAGTAGAAGTATGTTCTGGACAAAATAAATTATCTCAGATTGCAGTGATGTTCTTGCACTAAAGGCTTGTTCGGTTAATCCCTCCAAATCCTCAGGATTACCCAAACAAGGCCTAAGTAAATGCAAGATATGTACAATCTATGGAACGCACAAAGGATAAAACAGATAAAAATTAGATGATAGAGACGCAACAATAAAATTGAGGAAAACCTAACTTTGGTTTCATTTAATAAGGTATCACCGAGGGCCTCAAATATGCTGCCCTGTAATACATTACAGCCTTTGGGGAATTTTTTTGGTTAAAAAAAAAAACACTCTGGCTTTTAAGAAATACATCTATATTTACACTGCTATTGTATAGCAAAAGGATCACCATCAGTCCCATACTTCTAGATAAGATGCTTGTGCTGTAAACTCAAATTTTACCTTGAGTTCTCTCTGCACTATCTGGTATAAAATGAAGTATACAGATCAATAACTCTGAACCAAAGAATATTAACCAAATATGTCATTGTTCTGCAATAGATTTCTCAATGGCTTTCACATAAACAGCCTTTGGCAGTGTCCCGGTAATACTATGTATTTTTTCTCCATCCTTGAAGAGTAAAACAGTTGGAATCCTATCGATGCTGTAAGCTCTAGCAACCTGTGGGTAATCGTCAGTGTCAAGCTTATAGCATTTTATTCTCCCAGCATATTCTTGTGCTATCTCATCGACAATCCGTGTGACCATTCTGCAAGGTCCACACCAGGAGGCCCAAAACTCAATAAGCACAGGTACATCACTGCAGATCACATATTCATTCCAAGAGCATGCGGTGATTGTTTCAGCTGTAGAAGTAGACAATATCATTAGACATTTTCTAAATATTCTACATAAGCTTCACAGATAAAATCCATGTCGAATATAAAGCAGTAGTTCTGCTCATATAACAGAGTTAGAAAAGGGTAGACCTAGTGCCGGAGGCTCCCACATGAGTGGGGTCTGGGGAAGGGATAAACCGAGACAAGCCTTTCCCCCGCAAAATCTGCGGAGAGGCTGCTTCGAACCCACGACCTGGTGACTCAGTGAGACAGCTCTCACCACTGCACCAGGCCTGCCCTTCATAACAGAGTTAGAAAAGTTGAAAAAAAAACAAGAAGTATACAGGGCATCTGAAAGTCTTTATTTAGGTCAATCACAAAGATGCCCAAAGTTGATGGGCTGTCTATCACACAAAGAAGATGAATAAAACAGAGAATGAAATCTACTCAATCAAACTATGAATGGACAAAGCTGAAAGCTGTATGGCAGTAAGATAACATAATAAGCATAGATGCGTAGTGCCTATCTATCTTTATGGTATAAAAATAATTGATATTTTAATTGTATTTATGATACTCATGAAATTTCCATTGTTGCATGGGAACGGCAAACAGCTATTAGATATTTAAAAGAAGTTCCAGGAAAGTTCAATTTCACAGCCAGAGCTGCCAGAAGCTAATTTCAACATGTATCAAGACTCAACTTTCCATCATTCCAGCTAATCACGGCTTCAAATCAAAGGATGAACTACAATGGCAATACCATCCGTTACATGCGCTTCTATCGAGCTGCCTTTCACCACAGCATTTTAGATCGATTGGCCGAGCACTAGACACCTGTAAGAAAGTATGCTAAAAAGTAATGGCAAGCGGAAACTACAATAGAAGCTTGAGGCAGGATATGGCACTTTCCGAGGAGCGGTAAGCGAGCAGTAAGGGGGCGTGAGAAATAAAGCTTCACGGCACTGGGATCAATCAGCGGCAGCTAGGCCCTTACCGCCGGGGGAGTAGGCGCAGCTCACCCTCACTACCGCCGTGCGGCCCGCCGTTGGCCGCCGGATCCGCGCCGTCGCAGCGTCCGGCCGGTGGGCCCAGCGGCGGCACTGCCACCGGCGGGCGTAGGAGGAGCCATAGACGACCCTTCCGCGGCTGGATGCGGTGGCGGAGGGAAAAGGCACCGTCTTGGCGCAGCGGAGCCCGCGCGGAGGCGCGGGGCAGGAAGGAGCGGCGACGGCGACGGCGGCGGCGGCCATGTCTGATTTCGTGTGTCGAGCTCGAGTCGTGCCGGAGAAATGCGGTTGGTAGAAAATTGAGACTTTTACCTGTGTGCCGTTATAAAAGGTCGCAATCCCTTTGTGTGCCTCTGGAAAAATTCAGCGGTCTTCAGCGTTACTATTCCAATTTTTTTTTGTCCTCCATGCCACTTTTGCCAGTTCAGACTCTAACGTCGTCAAACTGCAGGTGTGAAAAGACGAAAATACCCTTAAGTTCAAATATGTTATTAATTGTTTTAAGCATTTTAACGACTTCAAATGAAAAAACTCAAAACTAAAAAGTTGTAGATCTCGTCGAGATCTATAATTTTCATATAAAAATTATTTTTCATTTAATTCCACAAAAAAATATGATTTGATATGATTAATATATCTTAGAAAAATCATCATATTTTTTTTGCGGAATTAAATAAAAATAAATTTTATATGAAAATTATAGATCTCGACGAGATCTACAACTTTCTAGTTTTGAGTTTTTTCATTTGAAGTCGTTAAGATGCTCAAAAAAAATAATAACATATTTGAACTGAAGGGCATTTTCGTCTTTTCACACCTGCAGTATGACGGCGTTAGAGCCTGAACTGATGAAAGTGACATGGAGGACCCGAAAAAGTTAGAGTAATAGCGCTGAAGACCGCTGAATTTTTTCAAAAACACACAAGGAATTACGATCTTTTATAATAGCACACAGTAGAAAATTCACTAGACAACCGCACACGGCCGATCCTGCCTCAAAACAGCGACGTTGACCACGGCGAAAACGTGTAGATGCTGTGGCTGGACAGCTGGAGTGTTGAACCCTTCCAAAACTTCTCTTTCCATCTCACGGGACAAATTTTTTTTACTAAAGTCTAGCTCAAAAAGATTTTCATAGCATATTTAAGGGTCTGTTTCGATTTTTCTCTTCTATTTTTTTTAAAGTTAAAGCTCAAAACAAGTGATCTAAGATTTGATTTAAACTTTGTCACATCTCACGTTAGAGCTTTAGAGCTCAAAAATGAGCCAAATTGCTCTAATAAAGCTTTTAGAGCTCTATATAAAGTTTAAAGCAGGAGATCAAAATAGACCTTAAACCCCTAAGAGCTACCAAAACTCACTCCTAATCAAGATTCTTTAGGCCATGTTTGGATGACCAACTCACCCAACACACATAGATTGAGTTGGATATATGGCCATCCAAACAAGTTCTTAGCAAGATTAAAAAACTGCTCTCCAACAATTATCTATCTCCGCCATGTTCGCTTGGCTTATAAGCCGTACTTTTTCAGCCAACAAACAATATTTTTCTCTCACAACAAATCAGCCAAGCAGCGAACAGGGCACTCAACTCTGAATCTTTCCGCACTTGGCACTACTACACAAAATCTTTTGCGCAGCGTTTGCAAATAGGCTTCGGAGGCGGGCAGGCTTTTAAACCGCCTCGGTTAATGCCTGGATTAACCGAGGCGGTCATTTTTTATTAACCGAGGCTATTAAAAACCTAAAATCTATTAACCGAGGCAAAAAAATTCTCCCATTTTCGCAGGCGGGCCCCTTATAAGGCCGCTCGCCTCAGTTAATATAGCCGAGCCCACTAACAATCCATCTTGGCCCATCTTGGCCCGACACCACATCGCACTATATATAAGCAAGAATGAAACCCTAGCCCTCACTCTCTCCCTCACCCCGCCGCTGGCGTCCCCCACTCTCTCCCTCACCCGGCCGACCAGAGTTCACGAATCTCCCTCCCTCGCGACGATGCCGCTCCTTCTCCCTCTCTCACTCACTCGCTCCCTCTCCCTCTCTCCACCAGATCCAGCGACAATGCCGATGCTCAGGGTGTCGGGCTTCCTCATGGCGTGGGCTCGGCGGCATGTGGCCTCCCACGAGCTCATGACTCCATCTCCTATCCCACTCCCTCTCCCTCTCTCCACGCAGCTCAGGGCATGATAGGGGCGCGGGATCGGTGACACGCGGCCACGCGTGACCTGGCGGGCGCGGATCTACGGCGGCCGCTACCCTCTCCGGGCTTGGGCGGCGCGCATGGCCTCGCGTGACCTGGCGGGCGCAGCCTCAAAGTCGTGGATCTATGGTGGCGGCGCGGCCATCACCGGGCTAGGGTCGCGGATCCACGGCGACCCTCTCCGGGCTGGGGCGGCGCGGATCTCCTCCTACGAGGCGAATTCGCTCTCCCGCGCCCTTCCTCCCTCCCTTCTCTATGGATCCGACGAGCGGTGGTGCGGATCTGGCGAGCACGGTGCGTGGATGGGCTCGCCGAGCTTATCCATAGGTTTTCCTTTTTTGTTTTTTTATTTGATTAACCGAGGCGGGCACGGTTGAGGCCACGTGTCGGTGCAGAAAGTGACCAACACGTAAATATTTGTAGTTTTGTCGTACGTTGTGATCGGAGGTGGCCTAGCACTCAATGACACAGGGTTTATACTGGTTCAGGCAATGTGCCCTACATCTAGTTTGAAGTCGGTCGGTGACTCTATTCCTGAGGTCAGGTGCTTGAAGTTTGCAGTGGGGTTACAAATGAGAAGGAGAAAGATGGGGGGAGCAAGAGGCCCGGTCGGACTCTGGTCCAAGCACCGGGAGAGACAGGGGCTCCGCTATGTGCTAAGTGTTCGAGCGTGTGCTCATGGTTTGAACCTGGTGGTTCTGCTGTTGTGTACTAGTAAACTTGATCGATCTACTGGATCTGAATCAACTAGAATGGACCTATCTGTTGGAGGAGAGCCCATCCCCTTTTATAGATGAAGGGGACGGCCTTACAAGTGAGAGGGAGGGAGTACGTTCGCTGCTAAGTCTTGCTTCCCATGCCGGTGGGTACAAGATGATGGTAGGCGCCCTCAACACTATTGGATGTCAGATACACATGGGAGGTGGCGTTTGTCTTCTTCAGGTATGGCAGACGTCGGTGCCTGCCATATTGCTGATGCCCAGAGGCACGTAAGGGGTTTTACCATGTTCGCCTGGTACGGTAAAAGTCGGCGCCCACAATACTGTCGATGCCCAGAGGCATGTGGGGGAGCCTTACCATAAGGGAGTTAATGGCGCCCCTCATTCGCCGAGCCAGGAGATGAATCGGCTTAGGGCAGCCAAACAGCTAGTGAGCCTTTGTACGCCCTTGACATTGTGTATGGGGCCCATGTTGGAGATGGCCATGATTTTTTCGGGGTTGGCCTCGATGCCGCATTCGGACACAATGTATCCTAGCAGCTTCCCCTTTGGAACCCCGAAAACATATTTTTTGGGATTCAGCTTGATGTTGAACCTTCGGAGGTTCGCGAATGTTGCGGCCAAGTTTGGGATCAGGTCGCAAGCTTGAGCCATTTTGACCACTATGTCATCAACATAGACGGCGATTGTTGGTTTTGGCCGCTCGGCTTGATCGAGCGGGTCAATTTGGTCGGCGAAGCATTGCTGCATGCACCTTTGGTAGGTGGCACCAGCATTCTTCAGGCCGAAAGGCATGGTTACGTAGCAGTACGAACCATACAGGGTAATGAACGAGGTCGTGAGCTGATCGGACTCTTTCATCGCGATCTGGTGATAGCCCGAGTAGGCATCCAGAAAGGAGAGGATCTCGCATCCTGAGGTGGAGTCGACTATCTGGTCTATGTGTGGCAAAGGAAAGTGATCCTTTGGATACGCTTTGTTGAGGACAGTATAGTCAATGCACATTCGCCATTTCCTGGTCTTCTTTTTAACAAGAATAGGATTGGTGAGCCAGTCGGAGTGGAACACCTCTTTGATGAATCCGGCTACCAAGAGTTTGGCGATCTCTTCGCCTATGGCCCTGCGCCTCTCATCGTCGAAGCGGCGCAGGCGCTGCTTAGCGGGCTTCAAGCCCAGGATGAGGCGTAGTGCATGCTCGGCAACCTCCCGCGGTATGCCCGACATGTTAGAAGGCTGCCATGCGAAGACATCATGATTGGCGTGTAGGAAGTCGATGAGCTCGCATTCCTATTTGGCCAGGAGCTGGGTACCGATTCACACCATCTTGGTTGGGTCGGCGGGGTTGATTCCCACCGCCTTGGTTTCCTCGAGCGAGCGAAAGGCCATCGAGGAGGCTAGTTTGTTGCAGTCTGGGACTGTCGGGGTCGATGACTCCCGAGCTATGGGAGCTCAAACGAGTTGATGACTATTGTGGTGAGCTCAAAATGCTCGCGGTCGCATGTGAAGGCATGCGAGAAGGCGCTGCTCATGGTGATGACGTCGTTCGGTCCTGGCATCTTCAGCTTGAGGTAGGTGTAGTTGGGGATCACCATGAATTTGGCGTAGCATGGCCGCCCCAAGATGGCGTGGTAGGACCCTAGGAAGTCCACCACTTCGAAGGTGAGGACCTCCGAGTGGAAGTTGGCTCAGTTGCCAAACATGACGGGCAGATCAATCTGCCCGAGTGGGTATGCCTATGCTCCCGGGATCACCCCGTGGAAGGAAGAACCCGCTAGGCGGAGCTCCGACCGGGGGAAGTGCATGGTGTCGAGGGTGTCGACGTAGAGGATGTTGAGGCCGCTGCCTCCATCCATCAGCATCTTGGTGAGGTGCTTCTTGCGGACGATAGGGTCGATGATGAGCAGGTAGCGTCCTAGTCTTACGACATGGGGGGATGATCCCTCTGATCGAAGGTGATCAGAGATTCCGACCAGCTAAGGAAGGAGGGGACGACCGTCTCGGCAGCGCATGCCTCCCTATAGCACACCTTGTGCTGGCGCTTGGTCCAAATGGTGTCGGATCCACCGAAGATCATGATGCATTCCTCAAGGTCGAGGAAGCCGTCTCTGTCCTTGCCTGTCGTGCCCCGTTTCTTAGCTACCGCCTCCTTGCTGTCTCCTTCTTTTGGCCCTCTAGCCTATTGCAGGAAATGTTTGAGGAGCTCGTAGTCCTTGTAGAGGTGTTTGATGGGGTAGGCGTGGTTGGTGCATGGGCTATCCATGAGTTTGTTGAAGTGGTTAGGTAGGCCCTGCTAGGGCTGTTTGCCTGTGCGATCAACT